TTTACAACCTAAAATTCTCTAATAGGTATTACTCTTCTTTTAGTTGGGAGCTCTGGTGGCATAGTGCCTAAGGCATTTGTCTGCTAAGCAGAAGGCTGGAAGTTCAAACCCATCAGCCACTCCTTTTAAGGAAAGTTAAGCAATCTACTTCCGTAGTGATACCGCCTCGGAAACCCAAGGAGGGCTCGCTATGGGTCGGATCTGACTTGATGGCAGTGAATTTGGTTTTGGTTTTTTCTTATCGTTACTTCAGAGAACAAAATCCGGATTGGCTCTGTAGAGCCAAAGGAGGTGACAAAGGCCAAGGGTGCCTTCTTAGAACCAGACAAGCAGCCAAGGGAGGTCAAGGCATGAGGCGGCTCCTTCAGAAAGGCCAGATACTTGTCCCCGTCAGATACATATCCAGTGTCTTCTCAGAGAAGCTCCTGATTTCAGATGCTTGAGCCAAGATTGCTTTTCTGACCAAAAGTGCCTCTTCCTAGAGAATAATAATAGCAGTGGGGTGAATACTGACAGGCAATTTCATACACTGATCCTTCAAACAATAGGTACTGCCTTTGTTTGGTGTAGAAAGAGACTAAGGCTTGGAAGGGCTAAGTAACCTAATAACCAAGGTTATACAAACATGTGGCCAGGCTGTAGAACTGAGCCCGACTCCAAAGCCCATGCTTTTAAAATTACAACAGTTGTATTCAAACTGTGCTGGGAGGATTCCCAGAAGCCTCCCAGTGGTTAGGGTTTCCCTTGTTTCCACACACTTTGGCTAAAATAGCCACACATATGTCTGTTTTGCATATTGGAGTTTCATGAACTAAAAATAAATTTGAAAGGAACATTATACCATGCCGCCCTGCTCTCTTCTTGAGCTTTCTAAGAATCAGGAAAGCCTCTTACTCTGTTTAACTCCACACCAAGGCCCAGCGGAAAGGAATTGCCTTAAGTGAGAAAAGACTGCGTGGTGGACCAACTTCCTGGCTCATTCACCAAGTTTAGGTTTCCATTACCTGTTCCATTCCTTGTCCTTTCAAATTATTCACCCTGGTTACGGGGTCCACGCCCCCAGCCCGCAAATCCTTACTGTGTGTAGGGGGTGGGGCGGGCAGGTTTCTGCAGGGTAGGTCTGCCTCCCCTCAGAATCCCCCTATCTTCATCTACCCACTGAGTCAAGAGCCAGGAATGTCTGTTGGGGCAGCAGACAGGTATGTCACCCTGGGGGTGTCAGAGACTCAATCCTCTCTCATCTCCACCCAATCTTCTCCTTACTGCTGTCTGGGGAATGTAACAATTTGTCTACAGATAAGAGAGGGAAATCCCAGACTCTGAGAAGCAGGGAGTCTTCATCTCTGAGTAGGTATAGCATTTAACACATCAGATCATGGCTTTCAGTAAATATTTGTTGTGAGAGAAAGGGAGGAAGACATTTTTTCCCTTTGCTCCTCCAGAGAAAAACCAACCTGAAATGTCTTTGTCCGACTGTCGAGCAGACTGACTTTTAGCTCAGAATAGATTACATGACCTCTGGTTTGACTTCGTGACTTGGGGGCTGGCTAAAGGAGGATACAAATTTAAACTGCTCTGAGACCACTGAGGTATGCACTAAGCTAGGACTCTTCTTTCTCAAGATGAGTGGAAGCAGAAGTGGGCAGCCCAGAATAGACTGGCTCAACAGCGTGGGCAAGAAGTACGGGGTGTGTGTGTGCATATGCTATGCAGCTTGCTAGAGTTTCCTTCTAGGATTCTGAGGTAATTGGGCCTCCTCACTGTTCCAAAAATAGGGTGGGCCTTGGTAGTGATGGGATGAGTCTGAAGCCACTCACTCCTCTTTCCCATCTTAAGGAGGTTGGGAAGGCACAGAAAATTCCTAAAACCTACCTTCCCTTCCTCAAACTATAATGATATCAGCCTTCCTATTCTCAGCCAATTCTGGGTAATTCAGAAACAGCTGAGAGCAGAATGGGTATTTCCGGTCTGTGGACTTACAGCTAACCTTTGTCTGGACTGGAAGCCTTCCCAATTACCTGTGGCCCCTGATAGTGATCCCACCTTCCAGATGCTGGGGTCACCAATTCAGCACTAGGAAATGCCCATACACTAATGTCAGTGGTTAGTAAAGATGACCAGTAAAGCTCCTTCTAAGGCACTCCAGAAGTTATGTACAATTACCAAGTGAGGTCCACAGGCAAGAAGACCACCTTCACGGTTGGTCAAAGCATAAAGTCACTTTTCTGGAAAGCATTTTGGCAATATGAATAAAATATCAGCTATTTCATTTGCAGAATTCTATCATAAGGAAAGATAAAGTACTATATATGTTTTATAACAGCAAAAAATTGGTAATAACTTATAAACAGGCTAACCATGGAAGTCTGGATAGGTAGACAATGTTTTAACTACACCATGGAATATTACCATGTAGGCGTTAGAAAGGTCTTTATGGGTCTGTGTGTGTATATATATTTGTTGCAAAAGAAGAAAGGAAAATTTATGTACATAATTTTTTTAAAAACTGGCTAACTGCCCTGGCTTAGCACTTTCTGTATTAATTTGACATTCCACTTTAAAATGGTATATAATTCAGGGCAACTAGTGTGGAACATTTTCAGTGAAAGAAAATCTTAGGTTTTGAGTCTATCAGTTTCAAGCATCATAAATTTTTCTGTTACCACATAGACTCTGGATCTAAAACAAACAAAACATTTTTCTTTAAATCCTAGAGAAATGTAAAACAAACTTTTTAGAAAAATATTTTTTTGAGCAATAACTCCCTACCTTTTCCTTCCACCCAGCTCTTGGCAACCACTAATATCTACTTTTATCTTAACTCTTTATATTTTTAATTACATAGCATAAAAACAACTGAAAAAATCAGGTTACAAAATAATTATAAAATATCCCACATATAAACTCTTCATCAGCCCTATGTATGTACAGAAAAATGCCTATATAGAAGTCTACTATGTATATATTTAAATAGACTTATTATAGATTATAAATATTTGTGATTATTTCTATGTTATGAGATTATAGGTGACTTACAGTTTTCTCATTTTCCAAGTTTTTTTATCAAGAAAAAATAGAAATCTTTGGAATGTTTGCCATATGCCAGCTATGTTGGAGGATGGTCTTTCCTCACACATAACTCACCTTGAACAAGCCTCACCTGGAACCCAGCTGTTTCTCCCTTCTGCATTATGTCATCCCCTCCCCATCATGTCATACTGTATACACACAGGAACAGATATTCACTTTGCTATCAGTGGGAGGTGAACAGAAGCTGTCTACTGGAGGAGAAAACACCCTTGTCGTCTCACCAAGGCCTGAAAATAAAGTTTTGGTTTCTTCCCATCCTTCTCTACTCTGTAACTAGAGAGAATCAATGCTGAGGGTGCTTGGATACAAGGCCATAAAGCCCTAATGATGCCTTCTAGTCCCCATGCCTGGTTTGCTTTGGTGAGAGCGAGGGCCTCTGTGGGGGGATAAGCATCAAAACCCATGACCACAGCACCCACCCTTACACCCCTAGCTGATGAGGGATTGTCCAGCAGCCTGGGCGTCAGGATTCCTGGGCTCCAGGCTCCACAAGTGACTCATAGCCCCAGGCTGTGCCTCTTGGCCTCAGTTTCCCTGGCTTGTTTGGTTGATACTCCCCACCTACTGTACAGGGTGTTGAAAGGGGTGAAATGCTTTGAACTCTTCAGATGAAAGAGGCTACAGAGGCAGCACCCAGTTATTATCCCCCATCCAGGCAGGCGTGGGAGCTGAGGCCAGCTGCTTTCATACTGTTCCAGCCACAGGAGTCTCCTCAGAGCCCCTCACTCCTCTGCCTTCTGCTCGGGCTACCAAAAATGCACAGCAAAGCTGAGTCATCGCTGTCTCAATACCACTGCAGGATAGACTTTACTAAACTGACTCCTCCAACTGCCCAAACCACCAGTGATCTATCTTCCCCCCTTGACTTCATTAAGCAGTGTTTAACAGCGCCAAGGTTTTTCTCCTGGTTGGCTACATAATCTTGTGGATGACATCTGTGACTCTGCACCAGCAAGTATATCAAAAGAGAGACACACACAATTAAAAAGTCAGCAAAGTGGGTTGAGAGCACCAGGCTGATCGAAGTTTAAACATCTCACTGTAAAATGGGGCTTAGTAACATTCCCCATCTTGTTTATCTTTAGGGGTTGTTGTGAGAGGCACATGAGGACCATGTGTGTGAAAGCACTTCGTAAAATGCCAAACCCTTCATCTGTGTTAATAGGCCCAAATATCTGCAAATAAGACTTTTGGCACAACTACCTTCCCTAGTCCATCTGTCACAGGCTGCCTCCAGGCTACAACTGCAAACATGAGCCTGGGCTGCCACCTACTGGCAAAGAGTATAAACTGCACCCAACCCAACAGCAAAGGAAGAACACACCCTCAACTTCCAGCCATCTGGACAATTTTTACCACAACCTCATAAAGCTGACATATTATATACTTAATATTTTTCTTTAAATAAACTTTCTTTATATAAATAATTTCATTATAAAGTAAGCTCTTAATCACTACTATAAATGGAAAGCTAGTAACACTTGCCAGAAATAGAAATAAACTGTAAAATAAATGTAATGAACATAAAACAATGTGTTTAAGGTCCAGCTAGAAAGTATTGCCTGTGAGGGCTCAAGCCTGAGACTGGCTCTCTGTTAAAATGGAAGATTAACAAAAGCACAAGATTGGAAACTGAGTGTCAATCCTCATATGAAGCTGTATTTGACATTCTTTGTTCTGTTCCAAGGTCCTGGGTCTGGATGGGCAAATAAAGTTTGGAAGCCACAGAAAATAGAAAATAAACTCTTGGATTGCAGTAAAGTACATTCTATCATTGCCTGAGTAGGGCCACTGCTCCATGTTCCTGGTGGCAGGGCCCAGAACTCACGAGCACCACCAAGGGTGTGTGGGTAGGTGCTTGGCCCGGTACTGTTGATGCACGTTTGGCTGTTCTTGCCAGCAGTCCTTTGCAGAGCTGCGTGTCCCCTTGCTAGCCTGCCAGTTCTGGCTGGGAGGACTTGCTCTTGGTTCTGCAACCTGCTGAGCTGTCTGTCTGCTGCCCACCGGGATCCTCCACTTTGCCCAGTGCTGTGCCTTCTGAGTCCTGTCCTCACCACCAGCTTGTGGTTACAGCTGCATGGCTTCCTGCTCCACTGATGAGTCCGAGGGTGTCAGGTACTTTTCCTGGATGCCCAGCGTGCTGCAGGAGGGCCCGTCAAGGCTGATAGCACAAGCAGAGGATGGGAGCTGGTCTGGGTAGGACCTGACCTCCATGATGTTTGACGCTCCCCCCCCCCCAATGTCTGGCATATTCCGCCAGCCCTCTCCCTTCCTCACAATTATAGTTTCAGGCACAGGCAAAAGGGGCCAACTGGGCTTGAGAAGCCCCCAAAGGCACCTGGATCCTAATGCTCCTATAATCTGCCCCCTCCCCATGGGGCTGAGAATCAAAGTGCTAACCCCCTCCAGCTTTGGTTCAATGCACATGGCCCTGGAATTACACTAAAACCAAACTCACTGCCACAGAATCAATTTCAAGTCATAGTGACCCTACAGGATGGAGCAGAACTGCCCCATAGGGTTTCCAAGGCTGTGGATCTTTATGGAAGCAGACTGCCTCATCTTTCTTCTGCAGAGTGGCATGGGTCTGATGAACTGCCAACCTCTTGGTTAGCAGCTAAATGCTTTAATTACTATACCACTAGAACTCCTTTTTGGAGCTAGACTGTAGGGGTTCAAATTCTGATTTTACCATTTCTTTTTTCTCAGCTGCAGAGTTGTTGTAAGGATTAAATGAGACAATGAATAAGAAGAGCCTAGCATATTTGGCCCACTGTAGGTGCTCAGTAAATATCTGTGAGTTTTCTTCTTCTGAGAGAACTCATGCGAGCTCAAAGAAAGCAACAAATTCCAGTTTTGGCTGTAGGGTGCCTACCTCTCTCTGGAGCAGCAGGAAATCATTCACAAAGGAAAAGTCAGCCACACTGCAGATGGCGCAGTATGAGGCTGGCCAGCCAGAGATGTGCAGTATGACTAGATAGGGGTCACCCAAGAAATGTAACTTAGGACACGTGGCTGTTCCACAAGGTGACCCCATGTCAGAACTGGAATTCCAACAAGCAGGGAGAACTAGGTTTGAACTGTTCTTCCAACATATCCTGGGAGAGGGACCTTACGACTATCACTCCATCTCCTCTAACCCACTGCCGTTGAATCAATGCTGACTAACAGTGGCTCCACAGGACAGAATAAAACTATCTCATAGGGTTTCCAGGGCTGTAATCTTTCTCCCGACCAGTGGATTCAAACTGCCAACCTTTTGGTTAGCAGCCTAGTGAGTAAACAGTGTACTATAGGCCCCTTCTGCCTGCTCTGTTGTTGTTGTTATTATGTGCCATCGAGTTGGACCTGACTCATAGTGACCCCTCCTTGGGTTTCCAAGGCAGTATCACTACAGAAGTAGATTGTCCCATCTTCCTTCCAAGGAGTGGCTGGTAGGTTTGAACCGCCAGACTTCTGGTTAGCAGTCAAATGCTTTAGGCACTACGCCACCAGAGCTCCTATTTTTTTCATCTATGAGGGTTAAAGAGACCCTGCAAGTAAAAAACTGAGTCAAGAAATGATGCCCTGGGTACCCGGATCTTTCTTTTATCATTCCTTATGGGTCCATCAATCTAATTCCATCTCATCCCCATGGGGACCAGTCCAGGAAACCCCCTTATTTTTTTACATATGAGGAACCCTACAGCAGCCATTGAGGCACTCTAGTTTAATCAAAGCCATGGAGAGAGTCCTATGAAGACTCTTCGTAAATGTTAACAGGGATTTTTCAACTTATTTTGGTTGCAGTTTCCAATTTTTAAAAAATGTTCAGGTAATTTCGTCCACCTCCCAAAATCCTAATCGCTATATATTCATCAGTGTTGAACCAACGCTTTCTCATGTCTCAATTTTTTGTACACGCATTCCTTCCAGATGTGTTAAACAAACAAACAAAAACACCTTAAATCTATCTCACCCCTACTCAAAATAACTCTCTGGAGCCCGTGCCCCTCCCCTTCTTTCTCCTCAGGAAGCAGTGCCTTGTTTCTGCCCAAGCCCACCCTGAAGATCCCTCAACTCACCTCACTTCACTGGGAATCACCTGAGAATCTCATTTCCAGCCTGATGCTCAAACTCCTGAGCAGGGCATATAAAGCCCCTCGTCTGCCTGCCCACCTTTCCAGCCCTGCTGATGCCCTCCAACCAGAAGCCTTGTCTGTTCATGAGTCATGCCATTCTACTTGCAACCCCCAACTATGTTTCAACCGTGAACCCCCACACCTTTGCATATGCTGTTCCTTCTGCCTTGCATTCCCTTTCCCTCTAAATCAGCTGGGAGCTCTGGTGGCGTAGTGCCTAAGGCACTTGACTGCTAACCAGAGGCTGGTGGTTCAAACCCACCAGCCACTCCTCGGAAGGAAAGCTGGGCAATCTACTTCTGCAGTGATACTGCCTCGGAAACCCAAGGAGGGGTTGCTATGAGTTGAGTCCGACTCGACAGCACTTAACAACAACTAAATCAGCTTGGTTAACCCTCACTTTGAGACGATGCAACGCCAGTGTATAACCTCCAAGCAGCTTTCTTTTACCCCCATCTCCAGCAGAGCTGACCAGTTCCTTCTTTGAATCAATGCCTTAATCAACTTACATGTTTACAATTAAAACTACCCTTGAAAATTACTTAAATCATTCATTAACTATAGACTACGTGGTTTCGTGACTACAATCTTATATAATATGTATGAATACATAACGTACAATGTGCCAAATAGCATTACAGCACTACTGAGATCGCCCCCTCCCTTTTTTGTCTGAGCACATGCAGTTGAATTGGCCAACGTGAACTGCACGTGTGAGACAGCTCCTTGGTACCTTCACTGGACACTGGACGCTCTACCACCATCATTTATGACTTGTCTGTTCCCTGGTGAGCTTTGTTTCTCACATGGGAAATGGTGACACCGACCCATAACTGCTGGTTAAAATTAGTCCTTTGATGCCCAGGGACTCCCCGTTTGTGTCTAGCGGGCAGAATAAAGGGCTTTAAGTGCCCTGCTCAGGAGTTTGAGCATCAGGCTGGAAATGAGATTCTCAGATGATTCCCAGTGAAGTGAGGTGAGTTGAGGGATCTTCAGGGTGGGCTTGGGCAGAAACAAGGCACTCCTTCCTGAGGAGAATGAAGGGGAGGGGCACGGGCTCCAGAGAGTTATTTTGAGTAGGGGATGCCAAATCTGTGAGATCATCAGCCTAGAGGGCCTGGACTTCCCTGTCTTGTCTCAGGCATGGCCTTTGTGACCTGAGGGACACCTCGCCCATGCGTGGGAGTCTAAATTCTGCTCCACCTCCATCTTTCTCACAGCCACCCAGTCACCAACTCTCAAAGTCTTATTGTTGTGTACCAGCAAGTTGGTGCAGACTCAGAGATCTATGTATGTGAGACTTAGCCTAATGCCTAAATATTTTTCTAATTCCCTTCCCTCTTTGTACTTTCACTGCAAATGTTCTGAAGCATATCCCTCAGATGCATTTTCCACACTGTTACAAAATTGTGTCTCCCCCCAAAAAAACAGTGTTGTAAATCCTACTATACCTGTGGTTATAATCCCATTTGGCAATGAATTTTGTTATGTTAATAAGGTAGCAGTAATGTAGGATGTGTCCTAACTCAAACTCTTTTGAGATGTAAAAGATTAAGCAAGCAGCAAGCACAGCTGGGGGAAGAGAGAGGACACACCAGGAGATCTCCAAGGACAAAAGAAACAGAAGCTGAAAGAGACGGACTTTTTCAGAGGCAAGAGAGAAAGCCTCCTCCAGAGCTGATGCCCTGGACTTCTAGCCTTCTAAATTGTGAAAAATAAATTTCTGTTCCTTAAGCCACTCACTCGGGGCATTTCTGTTATAGCAGCACTAGATAACTAAGACAGGAGCTCTGCTGGAGCAGTTCCTAAGGCACTTGGCTGCTAACCAGAAGGCTGGCGGTTCAAACCCACCAGCCATTCCTCGGAAGGACAACTGACCAATCTACTTCCGTAGACCACTACGGAAATCCAAGGAGAGGTCTCTATGTGTCGGATCTGACTCGGTGGCAGTGAGTGAGATAACTAAGACATACACTCACGAGGTCTTTTTCTAAAATGTACATATAATCAGGCATTCAACAGCACTACCCTGGCTCCCACTGCCTATCCGCGAGCTGACATCCACACTCTGTCAGGGCACTCGACCCTTCATAGCTCCCCTACACCCTTGCAACTCCTTTTTCCCTTCACACTCAACATACCAGGCAACGTAACCCTCACATTTCTCCCTCTCATTTCTAGGTCTCTGTATTTGCTGTTCCTTCTGATCAGTTTCCTTCCTCTTGTTAAGGTACAACTAACTGAAGCACTGCGAAGCATTTGAACATTAACAGTCACCAGGGAGCCCAACCGGTAAATAGGAAAGCCGCCACCTTGTAAACATAAAGCTGTGGCCATCCCTGAACCCCATGTCTCACCCTCTTGGCTGTGGCCAGGAAGAAAGTAGGAGCAGAGAGAGCAAGGATACGAAGAGAAATGGAAGTCGGCTCCCATTGCAGCAGACATCATGGCTTCCAGGCTTCGCTGCTCTTGGACCCCAAAGCAGTAGCCATTGGCTTTATCCACAGCCTGCAGTACTCGCTGGATGCTCTCCTTGTCCTGGGTGGGGAGGACAGAAACAGCTCTGTGAGTGACAACAGAACTAGGGTTGTACCAAATGACTTGCAGTCTCCAAACACAGTCCTTGGTCTTGCCTCCTGATGCCTTTGTACTCCTCCGCCCTGTAGTGGCCTGGCTAAAGCCCATCTTTCCTGGCCATGAGCCTACCCGGATCAGAACGGACAAGCCCCTCTTATGCACCCACAGTGCCTTGGGTCAATCCCTCCTGTAGCTCTAACCTTGCCATCTTTTTTTTTTTAAATAATATTTTATCATAGATTTTGTGAAGGCTTACAGAGAAGTTTAGGTTTCCATTTAACAATTTCGATACAAGTTGTTCAGTGACATTGGGTAGATTCTTCAAAATACACAAACACACTCATCATTTCCATTCTGGTTGTTCTGCTTCCATTAACGTAGATTCCCTGGTCCCTTTACAGTCTCATCTTTATTTTAAAGTAATTGTCAACTGGTTGGTCAATCTTGCCATCTTTGAAATACCTATTTACTCACCTACCTCCTCCACTTGACTGTGCACCCCTTGAGGTCAGAGACTTCTTTACTGAGGAATTTCCAGAGCCTGGCACAGTCCTTAGCTAACAGTAGACACTCAACTAAGCATGCATGTTATGTAATCTGGCTATAACTGTTTCCTCATCCATGTGACAATGGTAAGAACAGTCCATGTGTCACATGATAGGAAAGACAGATCATGATAAAGCATGTTCTGTCCTTAGCACACAAAACAGCTTCATTAAGTGGTAATTGTTATTATTAACGTCACAGGATTCAACTTCCTCAATTTAGAGCAGAAAAGTGTAGCATTACAAAGAGACAAGACAGGGCCAAAGTCCAGTCACTCGCACTGGAATCCTGCCCACCACAGCCCCTGATCCTAAAGCCAGGGGAACTCAACAGTAGTCAGACCCAGGACAAAGACCTCTGTCTGGGCCCTGAAAGCTTCCAGGACCCCTGATGTGATGAGGTCGCAGGCACCATCAGAGCCTATAGCCAAGAGGAAGAGGCCTCCTCATGCCCAGTACCTGGATGTTGAGAGGGATGAAGGAGACCAAGCTGTAGTCTTCGATGAGCTGTACCAGTTTCTCGTTGAGCCGGCGGTAGTGGCGGAAGAATGGGTCGGAAGCCAGGTGGTCAAGCAGGTAGGAGAGGTCCAGGACCTCTGTGTAATAGTCCAGGTTGAAGGCTAAAGCGAGAGATCAGTGTTTGGGAGCAGCTGGCATCAGGCTGAAGACCTGAGGAGCACACTTTCTGTCTTTCTTCCTTTGCTTTCATGTACTCATACATTCAACAAACATTGACTGAGGCAGTGAAACAAGGTGAGTAAGAAGGATACCTGGTTTTACCTACTGGCTCTATCATTTACCAGCTATACAGGCAGATACCCACCTTTGGGGGCTATCGTAAGGATTAGACATGATTAACCCCAGTACAGATAAATGCTTGATTAATGAAAGTAAGTAATGATGGTGAACATGTACCAAGAACCATGCTTGGTGCTGAAGCCAGAACAGTGAACATAGTCCGTGTCGCATGGAGCTCAGAGTCAGGTAGTATCCTTAGGGCTTCACATTCACACTGTAAAGACTCCGTAAATGCTGACCAAATAACAGGGTGGCTTCTTGGGTAAATCACTTTCCCTTTCTGGGCTTGTTCCTTCTCAGTGTAAAATGGAGAGACCATGCTAGATGATTCTGAGGTCTCTGGTTCAGTTCTAGGGGTATAAACTTTCTGCTACACGGAAAAAAGCGAAACCCCCCCCTCGGCACTGTCCAACTCTGCCCAGGAAACTCAAGCATTTGGGCTGCTTGGCAGGCCTGTCCCAAAGCAAGCTGGGGAAAACAGTGGCTGATCAACACACTCCCTGCCCCTGCTGCCAAGCTTAACTAGCTGATTAGAAACTGACTTTTCTATTCCAAGAAAGGAAGTGTTGTGCATTCTAGCACAAACTTGCTGGGTTGCCTGACAGGTATATTTCTCCCTGAGTACTAAGAAATTGGAACCTGATACACTTGGGCGTGTATTTCATCTAACTTAACATTCTAGCTTTGTGATTGATTTTGAGCTACTCATAGTAGCATGGATAGTTTCTTCAGTTTCTCCCTCTGGAGCAGTCTTTTGTGAGAATGACTTGCAAGAATCAGAGCTGAAGAGATCTAGGACCACCAGGTAGCCAACTGGATCAGAGGAGAGGGGCTTGGGAAGATTATAAATCCAGGTACAGATAAAACAGCATTTCTGTGCTTGCCAAGAAATAGACCAGGTCTCTGGGCTGAGGGGCACCTTGCAAGAGGCTGACATGCCTTCACGCCTTGAATGGCAGTCAGTGGCCTCCCTGGACAAGACCCATTTGTCACTTTCCTAACAACCTCATTCCCTGCTCACATTCTGGTCATTTAAGCTGATCATCTCTAAGTCCCTCTGTGCTGGAGATGTTACTTAAGAGTGCTGATGGGCCTAGCGCAGCAAAGAACTAAAAGAACAAAATGCTGGCTATTGGGCCCCTGCCTCATACCAGCCTGCTACTCCCTCATTCCCCCCTCTTGACAAATGGCACCCTCAGACATCCACTGGTTTGGTCTGAAACCAGTCATTATTGTCTGCTTCCAAAACCTAGAATTATCTGGCACAGAGCTACCCAAAATAACTGGGAGGGATCAGGACTTGCCTATGTCTTTATCATCAGGCCATGCCTGATTCACGCAGCTTCCTTTAGTTGACATCTGTGCTTCACTCCTGCCCAGCCACTGTCCTACTCCTTGCCTGACAGGATCAGGAGTCCTTACCCAGCTTCCCATAGTGCTCAATGAGGTCCATCTTGGAGAGGAGGTTGACGTGGGGCAGCTCCACATGCAACATGGTGGCCAGGGAGGTACACAGTACTGAAATGAACTTGGCTGGGTCTGTGCAGTAGTGAGAATCCACGAGGTGAACAGCAGTCAGCTGGGATGGAAGAGACAGAGTGAGAGTGGCCTGGGAAGGCAGCAAAGTCAAGGTCTGTATCTCCCTCAAACTGGGGGCTCCTGAGAACAGAGTACAAGCCTTTCCTTTAGTTCTCTTGCTTGTTTTATACAATATCCACCCTAGTTTCCTCTGCCCACGAAACATGGGGAATTTCTCCTTATAAGAAGCCTTGCACTGAGCCTCCCAGCAAGCAACCCACCCACTGCATCAGACTCCATTCTTTGCACTTACTTTTGCCCACCAACTCACAACAATCACCACACCATGGCGTGGTGTCTAAGGGATGTGACTGCTAACCAGAATGTTGGTGGTTCAAATCCACCAGTCACTCCTTGGAAGGAAGACTGGCCAATCTACTTTCATAAAGATTTACTGCCTGGGAAACCCAAGGGGGTCGTTATGAGTAGGAATCGACCTGATGGCAGTGTTTGTTTTTTTTCTTCTTCCATACTTCCAGTAATCAAAAATTGTGCATCACCCACTTTACAGATGAAAAAACAGATTCAGAGAGACTGACCTACCCAGGCCCACACAGCGAGTAGGTAGCAAAACCAGAACTTGAACTCACACTTTGTTTTACAAACTCAGCTCCTACCTCGCTGTGTGAAACGGGGCAAGGCACTTGTCCTCCTCTCTAACTCTCAGTTCCTCCACTGGCACAAAGGGCTTGCCGGCAACGACCCAAGACGCACCCTGAGATCCCACTGTGCCATCTGGGAGAAGATGCTGCGCAGGGCGCCGTGGTGCGTGCAGAGCTCCACCTGGCCAGGGCAGTCGAAAAGGAAGTAGTGGCCGCGGAGGGGGTTAAGCTTGGCACGCAGCCAGTCCAGGTTGGCCTCCAGATACTCCATGCAGTAAAGCAGCCCGCCGTTGGGCCCCAGCCTCAGCGCGTCCATCACGTCGGCCAGTCCCACTAGCTCGCCCACATCCACAGCGCACTCGTACGGCAGCCCCTCGTTGGCCGGGTCCAGGTTCACCACGGCCACGCGCCGGCCCACTGCGCGCAGAAACTCACTCATGCCGAGGCAGTATGTGGTCTTCCCGGAGCCTGGTGGGCCGATCACCACCTGCCCGAACGCTGTGGTCGGAGCAGCCCCTGCCATGAACACAACGCGGCCCCGTGCGAAGCAGAACAGTGCAGCGGGAAAATGGCGGAGAGCTGGGGCGGAGACTGGACCCAAGAGCAAGGGGATTTCCAACGCGCAATTCCCTGAACGCCTGCGAGAAGACTGACGGGTCGCCTAAGTGAAACAGCGAAGACTTATGTGCTGTAGGACAAGCAAATGGCCCGGCACTTGACTTCCGGACGACGTCGGAAACGGTAGGAGCCAAGAGAGGAAATCCCGCCCTCACGGCGGCGACAAAGCGTGGAACCAGGGGGAGTGGTCACGTAGCCGCGGCGTTTTCATACTGAGGGATGGGGGCTTAGGGAAGAAACTTTTAGATTTTCTCGATCTTCCTCCAGTCCCAAATTAGAACAGAAATAGAAATACCTAGTCGTAAATTTATTTATTCTCCTATTACGTTGCAGGCCTGGGCCTCCTGCCGTGGAGTCTCAGCTGTCCGGTCCCAGAGAAGGGCAGAGAGGGAGAGGCAATGGATGCGCCAAGACCGTCTAGTCCGAGTTTACAAATCCTCTCCCTCATCGGATTCTCTTTAATTCTGTTTTTGGCCTTCTTGGTGACTCCTTCAGAGCCCCCGAGGAAGGCTGTGCTTTCCAAACTGGATTCTAATTAGGTAGGCAAAGGAGGCAAACCCAAACAGGGATCATGGTTAGGAGACCAGTGGAGACCAGTCAGTAAGTCCAATATCAAAAGGGTAGGTAGGGGGCTTTTTTAAAAAAATGCTCCTGAGGTAGAGAACCAGAAGGCAAGTTTGGAACAAAGCACTTTGAACCAGCTGCATTCTGTCTGCTGTACCGACTTCTAAGTGGTAGTTAAGGCTGGGCAGAGGGCTGTCATCTGCAGCTATGAGTGATCTTGACCACGAAATCCCCTGAATCTGTTACTCAGGCTCTGAGGCACTATGCAAGGCACAGCTGGAGCCCTTCACAAAGGCCGTATCTGTCCAAAACTTCATGCTGGTGGGTGGCTGGCGGCGGAGCAGCGACTCCTGCTGGTCCTGGGGCAGCGGCTCATCATAGATGGTGGAGATGAGCCCTAAGCCAGTTCCACGGGGCCTCTTCAGTTGCCCAAATGGCTGTAACTTCTCTCCATGGTACCTGGATAAAGAAGAACTCTCACTGAGAGGGCTGCTCACTCTGAAACCTCATTAAAGGGAATAGAAAAGGGACAGGTGAGTTAACTACAAGGTATCTAGTTTGTCCCAATGGCAGAGCCTTTAAATCTGGATCTTTGTTCCTCATCTATCCAATAACAGTGCCAGCATCCAGCGCCTCACAGACTGCTTTCATTCTGTTACCACTCTGCTAAGAACTATCAGTGATTCCCTAAAGGCAATCGTATTAAGTCAACTCCAAACTTCCCAAATTAGGGGGTAGAAGGAATGATTCTCACAAGGAATCAAAAATACTGGTAAGCCTTAAGGCTTTGTTTAAAAAAAAAAAAAAAAAAAAAGGTGCCAGACCTACTTTTTCCTTCTAACTTTGTTTTGCAGTTCCTCCAGTAGTCTCCAGCACCTATTCCAAAACCAGTGAGAAGGTGGAAATCTGGGTACAGCTGAAAGGCTGGCTTAGGCCTCCAGGAAGCCCCTTAGTGACACTCACCCTAATCCACGCTTGCACCTGGGGTGCTGGCCATCACTGTCCAGTGCTTCGGGCACTCCTGAGCACCTGCTGCCCAGGCCCCGGCCCTCGGCCCAGCCCTGCCGTTCCATCACCTTCCGCCCAATGCCCTGCAGATGGAAGAGATAAGACTCAGATAGGCTCCTAAGGAGGAGGGGAAGGAATGCGGGGAGGGAAAGAAAAGATAGGGGTCAGTGGAATGGGCACAATGCTCACCTTAGTGTGGCGCTCAAAGGTGCCCACCTGGCACTCAGTTACAGAGCCATGCTCCTGGCCATCTCGGAGTCTCCGTTCCAGACGCATTTGGACAGAGTCTCGGGCATCTTTGTCTCCACCATCTGAGAAAACAGAATCCACTTTTGGGGAGGGTCCTTTTCAGCAGACCAAAACCCAAACCCACTGCCAGCTGATTCCAACTTATAGCGACCCTATAGGACAAAGTAAAACTGCCCCATAGGGTTTCTAAGGCTGTAAATCTTTACAGAAGCAGACTGCCTCATCTTTCTCCCATGGAATGGCTGGTGGGTTTGAACTAACAACCTTTTAGACTGCTTCAACTACTATACCACGGGAGCTTCTATTCTCAGCAGAAGGGAAAAATCAGGTTTCTAAGACCCCTTCACAAGATTTACTTACTCATTTTTATACCAAACCAAAACCAAACACACTGCTGTCGAGTCGGATCTGACTCACAGAGACCCCTCCTTGTGTTTCCGAGGCAGTATCACTATGGAAGTAGATTGCCCCATCTTCCTTCTGAAGGGTGGCTGGTGGGTTTGAACCACTGGCCTTCTGGTTAGCAATCAAATGTCTTAGGCACTATGCCACCAGATCTTCATTTTTATAGGGCTCTGTTATATTACCTCAGGAGCTCTGGTAGCACAGTGCATAAGGCAATTGACTGCTAATCAGAAAGTTGCTGGTTCAAACCCACTAGCTGCTCCTCAGAAGGAAGATGGGGCTATCTACTTCTGTAAAGATTTACCACCTTGGGAACCCGATGGGAATCACTATGAGTCAGAATCTACTTAATGGCAGTGAGGTTTTTTCTTTTCTTTTTTTTTTTTTTTTGTCATATTACCTTATCTTGCTCATTGGGTTGGGAGCTGACCAAAAGTAGGAACCTTGTCTCCACCATTTTATAGATGAGGACATTGTGATGAAGAGAAGTCAGAGAGCCAACAAATGACAGAGCTGGGATTAGGAGCCAGGTCAATTTTCACCCCAGAATCCAAACTCTTAACCAGACTCGGGTCCTGACGATCCCACTCTTCCCAGGCCTGCCATTAGACCCAGCGCTCCCTGAGGGCTGCCCCATGTGTCTTTCCTCCTCCACAAAGATTACAAGGCTTTGCCCATAATCAGCACTGAATACATCCAACTAGAGATGTTTGGTTTGAAGGGAGAAACCCTTCAGTGGGCTACCCTAAGGGATGGTCCCTTCCCACCCCATGTCTCAATCTCTGCTATGTGCAGTTTTCACAAAGTGTCACAAGGCTGGGTCACGAGATCTACCTCCCAGTACTGCAACCCTTGGCCCATTACCTTGGTCGTAGTACACACTCATGTCCACGTCCCAGTCATCGGCTGTCTGTTCATCAAAGTCTACAGAGACATAAAAGCATACAGCAGAGTGGGCTAAGGACTCTCAGTTCTGTTGAGAGCTAAATCTAGAGTTAAATAGAAGTTCTAGAACTTGTTTTTTTTTTTTTTTTAATTGTGATTTGGGGAAAAGTTTACAGAGCAAATTCACTTTCCATACACAGTTCACATACACTTTGTCTCATGACATTGACTACAATTTACCACAATGCAACAGCTCCCCACCCACTTCCTCCCAATAATTACCTCTTCCCTGCGTCCATCCCTCCATGCACTACTGCACCCTGAGCTGTCTCTCTGTGCATAAACAGCCCTTCTTTCTCCCAAGATTGTTCTCTCCAAGGAGTGTGTCTATCTCAGGTAAATGTTCAACTCATATGCCTATCTTTTGTTTGACTGGAAGCCACAGGTGTGGGTTCAATTCCAGACGTGAAGGGCAGCTAGGGTCCATAATCTCAGTGGTTCTAGCAGCCTCTATCAGACCAGCAAACCTGGTCCCCCCATTTTTTTCTCCCCCAAATGATTTTCAGTGTTGTTCCACATTGTTCTCCCTCTCTATCCAGGATCTCCTACATAGATCCCCCTCTGAGTGGTTGACAGTGGTAGCCAGGCACCATCTAGTTCTTCTGGTCTCATAGTTGTATAAACTGAGGATTGCATGGGGTACCAGTCGCTTGGACTAATTGTTTCCATAAATCTTTGGTTTTCTTCATCCTTCTTTGCTCTGGATGAGGAGAGACCCATCGTTGCATCTAGATGGCCACTTGCAAGCTTTTAAGATCCCAGTCACTACTCGCCAAAGTAGGAGGGGGAACAATGTCTTGTGTAGTATGTTATGCCAATTGAGCTTGATGTTCCCAGCAACTATGGTCCCGAGCCCACCGGTCCAACTACTCATTTCCTCTGGGTAGCTGGCTATGCCCAAGAAGTGACTACAACCTTGTCCCTTGTCAGCTCTACTATACACCTGGGAATTCTTACAGAACATAGCAATATACTTATAGAAACACTGTCTGCCAACACTATACATGGTCACGGGCATACTCCCCTCTGCATAGACATACCTAATATAGAACTTGGGGCTTTTGTTTGCGTTTTTAAATCTCTCCTCTGGGGGGAGGATCATTCAGAATTTAGGGGAGCACTTTTTCCTCCACCCCTAAAAAGGATTATTCCCTTATATATAGTATAGGTAAGCCTCTTCCTTAGCCATCTGTTTGGGCTCACTGCCAGGGAATCCACATGGAACAGAGAACGCAGCAGGCATTGTCTGGGTACGATACCCCTGCTTGGGTGCTAGTATTACCTCCTTCTTCTTCCTGCCAGAACTGGGCATCAGTGTAGAAGACCAGGCCAGAGCCACCTTTCTCCCACTTGAGCTCGATCTCCTCCTCAAAGAGCCGCTCAGTTGTGCGCTCCTGCCTGGTCACATCTTCATGTAGTGCTTCATGCCGCTCCCACTCCTCACACCGGTCATCATCCTGGGGGAAGGTGGGATAGGTGACTTGCCAATCCAGCTTCCTGACCTCATGCCCAGAAGGAGGGCAGCTCAGGGCATAGGAGGCAAGTGAGGCTGGATCCTTGGGTCTATTAGTTCACATTTCTCTAGAAACAGTACGTTTGGCACTTCAGGCCTTGCCCGACATATCGCCATCCCGTTTCTCAACAAACTTTGCTCTTTCTGCCTGTTACGGACTGAATTAAGTCCCCTAAAAATATGTGTTATAAATCCTAACTACTATGCCTATGGTTATAATCCCATTTGGAGGTGGATTTTCTTTGTTATGTTAGTGAGACAGGGGTAGTGTAGGGTGTGTCTTTTAAGTCAAACTCTTATTGAGATATAAAAGAGATTAAACCAGGGTTTCAAACTAGTTCAAACAGTTCAGTTATGGCCAGGTTCAGTCATGGCCAATTGAAACAAGGGCAGCGTATGCATTGCATAGCAACCAGATCTTTTGGGATTTTGACCTGAGTAGGACACGGGTATATCAGTCTCAAAGATGGAGGCCGACCAACTGCCCTGCTTTGAATGGTGTCTGAATGTGTGTTGCTGTCCATAGTCCTGTTTCCTGATGTGGGAGACTGGATTACTGGCAGGACTGTGGAGAGCAACAACTTCTCAAAGCAATGTGGTTGGCTGCCATCTTTGAGTGGGACACCGTTGCCTGTTTCCTATTTGGGTCAAAATCTAACACACAGAGATTTGGCTACTATGCAACACTTAAGCTGCTCTTGTTTCTGTCAGCCATGACTGAACAAGAAAGTGAGAAGCATAGATGGGGGAAGACATATGCCAAGCTACATGAAGATCATCCTGGAAGAGAAGTTCAGAAGAGATACAGACCTTCTTCCAGAGTTGACAGAGACAGCCTTACCCTAAAGCTGGCCACCTGAATTTAGATTCATAGCCTTCTAAACTGTGAAAAAAATATATTTCTGTTTATTAAGCCACCCAGCTGTGGTATTTCTGTTATAGCAGAACTAGATAACCAAGGTACCCCTCATAAGCCTGACTTATTCTTGTCTCTGCACTTTTGGCCACATTGTTCCCCTGCCTGAAATTATCTCCCCTACTCTCCCACAACCTTTTCTTCTCTACTTAGTTGAATCCTTCCCATCCCTCAAGTGCTACAGTACATGAAGCCTGCAAACACTCAGCCCCCAGTTCTCACTGGTCTCTGAACTACTCAGTGATAATCAACATATACTGTTTAGTCCTTTACACATTATTTCATAAGGAAAGGAGAAGAAATAGGAACTGACTGTCTACTACATGGTTTGCCCTTCATATAACTTAACTCCTTTCATCATCCCACAAACCCTGTGAGATAAGTACCATTATTCGCATTCTGCAGATGTGAAAACCTAGCTTCAGAGAAATAAAGTGATTTGTCAAGATAGTACACAGAACAGAGCCTGTGTTCACCATGCAGCCTTCCTAAGTATTAGTACTCTTGTTAGGGAGATTTTAGGCTTTTTGAGGGCAGGAAATAGGTCTTAGAGTGTCTTTGGAATCCGGCACAAGCGATTTGACTGGACTTGGAGGATGATGGGATAACTCTCAGCTCAAAATTCGTGGGCCCCAGTCCGAGCTGAAGTTTTGAAAAGGCTTCAGAATCATTGCTGCAGACCAGGTGCTGGCAAAAAGTCAGCACAGTACCACACCAAGGACATAGTCCAAATGTGTTAGTAACACAGAGCTGGGAGTTTTGAAGACATGGATGTGCTACTTCTTATTCAGAGTACGCATTAAAAAAAAAAAAAGTTTCCCCAACAAATCAAAGCTCATCTGATTTTATGGATGGACAAACAAGTTTTAAAAAACAGGAGGAAGAAATGTCTATTTCATTGATAAAGCTAGAGTGGAGGCTAGTGTTCAATCCACAGATTCAAGGTCACATAGAGGTTACAGAAGCAACGAGGGGGACTGCCTTCAAATCTCAGCTCTGTCTCTACTTCCTTAGATGCCCTCGGACAAGTCATTGCATCTACTTTGGTTGGCAGGTTTTCGTTTATGAAAAGGGATCCTCTTTACATTCCTTCTGAAGGAATGACAATCGGTCACCTTTGAGAATCTTCTGATAAATGCTGTGGATTTGCTCCCTAAAGAAATGCAGATAAGTACATGCAAATGCAGTTTTACACTCAATGTCAGGGAGTTCTCACACTCCTTGGAACCTTTCTGAGGAACCCAGGTTAAGGACTCTTGGACTATACAATTGAAGAGAGGTGTTCTTAATGCTCTGGCTTTCCAAACTGCCAGCAAGGATAGGTGGCTCACTTTACTCACATCATCTGAGTCAGACTCTTCTTCCTCCTCCTTTTCCCCTTCTTCCTCTGGCTCTCCACAAGGGTTGGCTGGTGTGTCTACTAGGCAGGCTCCCTGAGGAATCTCCTCACCCTCTGCTGTGTATACAAGCTCTTCCTGCTCCACAGTCTCTGAGTCCTCATACTTGAAGGGCACATTGCCGTAGCGTCGGGAGGAACCTGTCTTGGGGAACTGGAGCTGCAGCTGGGTGATGATCCGGGGGGGCAGACGGCATGCCTGGATGAACTCCAAGAAGACCTGCAAGGGAGTCCCCACATTTCCATTGGGCATCAGCACTGGTGGGTTCAGCTCTGGCAGTTGTCTCAGGTCAGCCAGGGTGAAGGCTTCACTCTTGCCCTTTCGACTCTGCAGCTCTTTCCGAGTCTTGAAGGGAAAGGAGCCCAAACCTTAGGAAGGAGGGAAAAGCATGGATCTTGAAATCCAGAAGTTTCTAGCAATACTTGGGCCAGAAATTGGTCATGGTTTAAATCATTTAGCCTGTCGCTGTTCTTCCCTTTCCAACATTCCAGAGCCCCCTCCGCCCCTCCCTAGCCAAACCCACCTAGCAATTTCATGCCATTTCTTATTACCTTGGACAAACACACGTTTTTCCAGCTGTGATTGCTGTTGACCTTTTGAGCCTCAACTGCCACCCCCACCCACCCTCTCCTCTCCTGCATGATTTAACATGTCTTAAAGTTTAATGGGCTTTCACAGCTCTGTGTCTTTGCAAATGACTCAATAAATTGGAAAATGGAAGACAACTGTAATAACCTTTTTCCTTGGTTCTTTGGGAAAAGAGAGATTTCCCCCCCTAAAATCTAAGGAGTTATCTTTGCCCTAGTTTTCTACCCCAGAGGGTTTGTTACTTTTGTTCAGGTTCATTGACATACATTTCCTGGTTAAACTAAGCAACTTGTAACTTGATACTTTTTGTCTGGCTCTGGGCTGTAGCCTGTCCTATGATTGGTCTAATTTAGGCACTTTGCAAGGATTGGTCAATTTACCTACATAAATGAAGTGACTACAGCCTACTATCCACCACTTTTCTGTCAGTTTTTCGTACTGTGGTGGCTTGCCTGTTGCTGTGAGGCCGGAAGCTATGCCATCAGTATCTCAAATACCAGCAGGGTCACCCATGGTGGACAGGTTTCAGCGGAGCTTCCAGACTAAGGCAGACTAGGAAGAACAGGTCCATCCACTTCTGAAAAAATTGGCTACTGAAATCCTTACATTACTGGAAAACTTTATGAATACCAATGAAACACTTGTCAGATTTAGTGCTGGAAGATGAGCCCCTAAGGTTGGTAGGTACTCAAAATATGACTGGGGAAGAGCTGCTGCCTCAAAGAAGAGTTGACCTTAATGACTTAGATGAAGTAAAGCTTTTGGGCCCTTCAATTACTGATGAGGCATGACTCAAAATGGGAAGAAACAGCTGCAAATATTCATTAATAATTGGAATGTAGAATGTATGAAGTGTGAATCTAGGAAAACCAGAAGTTGGCAGAAATGAAATGGAATGCATAAAGACCGATATCCTAGGCATTAGTGAGCTCTGGTGGCATAAACCCGCCAGCCACTCCACGGAAGGAAGAGTGGACAATCTACTTCCATAAATATTTACCACCTCAGAAACCCAAAGGGGGTTACTATGAGTCGGAATCGACTCGATGGCAATGAGTTTGTTTGTTTTCTGTTTTAGTGAGCTGAAATGGACTGGTACTGGCCATTCTAAATGAGACAATCATATTGGTTTACTATGCTGGGAATGACAAATTCAAGAGGAATGATGTTGCATTCGTCATCAAAAACAACGTTTTGAGATCTATCCTGAAGTACAATGCTGTCAGTGAGTGCTCACTTCGGCAGCACATATACTAAAATTGGAACAATACAGAGAAGATTAGCATGGCCCCTGCGTAAGGATGACAGGCAAATTCATGAAGCATTCCATATTTTTAAAAGAAAAAAGAAATGCTGTCAGTGATAGGATAATACCCATATGCCTACAAGGAGACAGTTAATACTATTATCATTCAAATTTATGCACTAACCACTAAAGCCAAACATGAGGAAATTGAAGATTTTTACCAACTTCTGTAGTGTGAAATTGACCAAACATGCGATCAAAATGTATTGATAATTACTGGTGATAGGAATGTGGAAGTTGGAAACAAAGAAGGTTTGACAGTTGGACAATACTGTCTTGGTGAAAGAAATGACGCTTAAGACAGCATGACAGAATTTGGAAGACCAATGACTTATTCATTCGAAATACCTTTTTTCAACATAAACAGTGACTATATACACATGGACCTCACCAGATGCAAAACACTGGAATCAAATTGACTATATCTGTGGAAGGAGGTGATGGAGAAGCTTGATATCATCAGTGAAAACAAAGCCAGGAGCTGACTGTGGAACAGACCCTCAGTTGCTCATATTCAAGCTGAAAATGAAGCTGTTCAAGTTGAAGTTGAAAAAAATTAAAACAAGTCCACAAGAGCCAAAATATGGCCTTGATTATATCCTACCTGAACCTAGAGACCATCTGAAGAATGCATTTGATGCATTGAACACCTATGACTGAAGAGCACACACATTGTGGGATGATATCAAGAACATCATACATGAAGAAAGGAAGGAAAGATTATTAAAAAGAAAGAGAAGACCAAAATGGATGTCAGAAGAGACTCTGAAATTTGCTCTTGAATGTGGAACAACTAAAGCAAATGGAAGAAATGATGAAATGAAAGAGTTAAAACAGATTTTAAAAGGCAGCTTGAGAAGACAAAGTATTATAATCAAATGTGCAAAGACTTGGAGTTAGCAAACTAAAAGGGAAGAACACACTCAGCATTTCTCAAGCTGAAAGAACTGAAGAAAAAATTCAAGCCTCAAATTGTAATACTGAAGGATTCTACGGGCACTTACTGATGAAAATTGAGGAACACAGTTTGCAGTATGGATTACATCTCAATATAAAGAAGACAAAAATCCTCACAACTGGACCCATAAGCAGCATCACGATAAATGGAGAAAAGACTGAGGTTGTCAAAGAATTCACATTGCTTGGTTCTACAATTGATGCCAATGGAAGCAGCAGTCAGGACATTAGACGACGTGTAGCACTGGACAGGTCGGCTGCAAAGGAACTCTTTCAAGTGCTGAGGAGCAAGGATGTCTCCTTGAGGACTAAGGTGTGCCTGACACAGGCTATGATATTTCCAATCGCCTTGTATGCATGTGAGAGCTGGACAATGAATAAGGAAGACTGAAGAAGAGTTGATGCTTTTTGAGTTGTAGTGCTGGCAAAGAATGCTGAATGGACTGCCAAAAGAACTAACAGATCTGTCCTGGAGGAAGTGTGGCTGAGATGCTCCTTGGAAGCAAGGATGGCCAGACTTCATCTCACCTACTTTGGTCATATTGTCAGAGGGGACCATTCCCTGGAGAAGGATGTCATGCTTGGTAAGGTGGAGGGTCAACGAAAGAGGGGAAGGCTTTTGACGAGATGGATTGACACGGTGGCTGCAACAATGGGCTCAAGTATAGTAAAGATCATGGAGCTGGCGTGGGATTAGGCAGTGCTTTGTTCTGCTGTGCACGGGGTCGCATGAGTCAGAAACGACTCGACGGCACCTAACAACACAACAACAACGGGCAAAATACTGAACAATGCAGGGAGCATCAAAAGAAGATGGAAGGAATACAGAGTCACTGTATCAAAAGGAAGTGGTCAACAGTCAACCATTTCAGGAGGTATCATATGATCAAGAACCAATGGCACTGAAGGAAGACATTCAAGCTGCACTGAAGGAACTGGCAAAAAACAAGGCTTCAGGAATTGATGTAATACCCATTGAGATGTTTCAACAAATGGATGCAGCAGCACTGGAGGCACTTACTTGTTTATGCCAAGAAATTTGGTGCTGCCAACCAACTGGAAGAGACTCATTCCAAAAAAAGATGATCCGAAGAATGTGGAAATTATTGAACAATATCATTAATATCACATACAAGTAAAATTTTGCTGAAGATAATTAAAAAATGGTTATAGCAGTCTATGGACAGGGAACTTCCAGAAATTTAAGCTGGATTCGAAGAGGATGTGGAATGAGGGATATCATTGCTGATGTCAGATGGATCTTGGCTGAAAGCAAAAAATATCAGAAAGATATTTACCTGTGTTTTATCGACTATGCAAAGGCATTCCACTGTGTGGATCAAAATAAAGTATGGATACCATTGCTAAGAATGGGAATTCCAGAACAGTTAATCGTGCTTGTGGGGAACCTGTACACAGACCAAAAGACTGTCTTTCAAACAGAACAAGGGGATACTGCATGGTTTAAAATCAGGAAGACTGTGTGTCAAGGCTGTATCCTTTCACCATTCTTACCCAATCTGTATGCTGAGCAAATAATCTGAGAAGCCAGACTACATAAAGAATGTGGCATCAAGATTGGAGGAAGACTCATTAGCAATTTGTGATATGAGGATGACATAACCTTGCCTGCTGAAAATGAAGATGACTTGAAGCACTTACCAATGAAGATCAAAGACTTCAGCCTTCAGTATGGATTATACCACAACATAAAGAAAACAAAGATCCTCACAACCGGACCAATAAGCAACATCATTATAAATGGAGAAAAGACTGAAGTTGTCAAGGATTTATTTCATTTTACTTGGATCCACAATCAACACTCATGGAAGCAGCAGTCAAGAAATCAGACGTCATATTGCAGTGGACAAATCTGCTGCAAAAGACCTCTTTAAAGTGTTAAGGAACAAAGATGTCACTCTGAAGATTAAGATGTGCCTAACCCAAGCCATAGTATTTTCAATCACCTCATGTTGTTGTTGTTGTTGTTGTTACGTGCCGTCAAGTCGCCCCTACTCATAGCGACCCCTCCTTGGGTTTCCGAGGCAGTATCACTACGGAAGTAGGATTGCCCAACCTTCCTTCCGAGGAGTGGCTGGTGGGTTT